AAACATGTACATTGCTTCCTGCCCAAAAGAATTGAAAGCAGGGACTCAAGCAGGTCCTTGTGCACCCCTGTTCATGCAGCACTGTTCTCAGTAGCTGAAAGGTGGGAACCCCCTTGTCTGTCAGCAGGGATAAGCTAAATGTGGCACACATGTACCATGGAACATTTTTCAGCCTTGGGAAGGGCACCTGGTATCACGTGGATGAACCTGGAGGACATTATGCAAAATGAAAAACGCCAGACACAAAAGGACCGATACATGATTCTGCTTGTAGGGGTCTGTAGAGCAGTCAGATTCATAGATGGAAAGTAGAATGGTGGTTGTCAGGGCCTGAGGGCAGGGGCATGGACAGTCGCTGCTAAATGGATAGTTTCAGTTTTGCTAAATATCGAGAGTTCTCGAGGTTGGTTGCACAGCACTGTAAATGGACTTAACACTACTGAATTGTACACTTAGAAATAGTTGAAATGGTTAAAATGGTAAATCAGGCCAGGCATTGTAGCTTACGGCTATAAACCTAGCACTTCGTGAGTCTGAGGTAGGCACATCACATGAGTTCAGGAGTTCAAGACCAGCCTGGGCAACATAGCAAGCCCTGTAGCTCACAAAAATTTTGGAAATTAGCTGGTGGCATGCACCTGTAGTCCTAGCTATGCAGTATGCTGAGGTAGGAGGGTCACTTGAGCCCAGGAGGTTGAGGCTGCAGTGAGCCGTGATCATGCTACTGAACTCCGGAATGAGACTCTGGGTCACAAAAAAAGAAAAGATGGTAAATTACATGCCATGTGTATTTTACCAAAATTAAAGTTCTTAAAAATAGATATTTGAGGCCGGTCACAGTGGGTCATGCCGGTAATCCCAGCACTTTGTGAGGCCGAAGCAGGCAGTTCGCCTGAGTTCAGGAGTTCAGACCAGCCTGACCAACATGGTGAAACCCCACCTCTACTAAAAATGCAAAATGAGCCAGGCATGGTGGCACATGTCTCTATTCCCAGCTACTTGGGAGGCTAAGGCAGGAGAATCACTTAAACCAGGAGGTGGAGGTTGCAGCAGTGAGCCAAGATCTCACCATTGCCCTCCAGCCTGAGTGACAGAGCAAGACTCAAAAAAAAAAAAAAAAAAAAGTTGCTCCTTGCAAGGCATTGGCCAACCAGCAGTGGAGCTCTTGTCAGTTGGGAGTAAGCACTTGGGTGCATAGGCTGCTCGTGATCTAAGATTCATGGAAAAAGTCGTCACCGCTGTTACCTGCACCTTAACACCTGAATTTTCTTATCATCCAGTGTGACTATTGAACCACGTGGAACCCACGTTTAGTCCATAGGCGATACAGAAATACTCATTTGTTCATCTGTATATTGAGGCCTTGTATATATTCCAAGGGCTGTCTTATATCTTGCCTCTAGGTAAATAAGAGATGGTCCTGAGCCTCAAAGAGTTTATCAGCCATTCTTTATTCTTCAGCTAATATGAGCAGTGCATCTTTTACATTAGAAGTTACTCATGCTGGGTACACCTGTAATCCCAGCAACTCGGGTGGTCAATGCGAGAAAATCGCTGGAGGCCAGGAGTTTGAGACCAGCCTGGGCAACATGGTGAGACCCCATCTCCACCAAAAATAAAAAAAGAAGTTACCCATAAATTTCTCTCTCTAACCCAGCCTCAACTTTGCACTTGGGCACTAACCCTTTGTACAACATTCCTGATATACATCCTTGGTACAGAACCCTCCAGGCAAGGACAGGTCACTGCTGAGTGAGAGAGCTCTGTTACTATAGTTCTTCCTTAAACACTGCACTCAAAACTACTTCCATCTAACTTTTGTCCCTTGGTTCACATTCTGCCCTCCTTCCGATTTGCTACGTGGCATGGTTTACAAAAGGCCCCTTTCCCTCCAAGAGATTTCAGTGTCTGTGGTGTTGCTGAGTCTGCTGTGGCAGTCCCTACTGAGGCTCCATTCATACACCCGAAGATTGCATGAGTTTTTACTGGCAGCCACTCAGTCAGGCCCCAGTGAATCCTTGTCCTCTGAAGTCGCAGGTAGGAGCTCCACAAGGGCATCTGGATGTCCAAGAGGATGCTCACGTGTGCCTAAGGGTCATCCATGAAGGCTTCGTGGAGGAGGTGGCCTTGGGGATAGATAGAGAGCTCAGAGAGTTTTAACAAATGTTGATCTTTGAAGATTAATAATCTTGTGGCTTAATACATATTTGCATATATCATCTCCCAGTCTGTCTCTTATTTTTTGACCTTGCTTATAAGACCTTCTCTTAAAACAAGTTTTAAATTGTGCTGTAGTGGAGTCTATACACCATTTCTTTTGTGGGTTATTCCGTCATTACCTCATTTAAGAAATTCTTTTTTACTTGAGGATAATAGAGTTCCCACTGTTTTCTTCCAAAATTATACTTATAATTTTCAAGTTTATGCCTTTGTTCCATATTGGGTTTATTTGGAGGCCTGGTATGTGGTAGGAATTGAATTTCAGTTCTCTCCAGCCAAAAGTCAGATGGTAGTCAGCCTTTGTTGGTTCGTGTCACCTCTATCATATTCTATCCTGCACATGCTGAGGTATCTTTGTGGGTCTTTCTTCTTTTTCCATTGATTAATTTGTCTATACTCGTGGAATTTATTAGCATAGTTTTGTGGTATGATTGATAGCTAGTAGAAGAGTCCTCTTTGTTCTTTTGGTTTTGTTTATTTGTAAAGTTATCTGACTATTTATGCCATTACCCTGTGTTAGTTCACTCTCGAGTCACTATAAAGGAATCCCCGAGACTAGTTAATGCATAAAGAAAAGTAGTTTATTTTGGCTCATGGTTCTCAAGGCATGGCACCAGCATCTGCTGGGCTTCTGGGGAGGGCTGCAGGAAGTGTCCACTCAGAGAAGAAGGGGAAGGGAAAGCCAGTGCATTACCTGGCAAGAGGAGGAGCAAGAGAGGGGTGGGAGGTGCCACACTCTTAAACAAGCAGATCTCTCAAGAACTCAGAATGAAAACTCATTATCACGAGGACAGCACTAAGCCATTCATGAAGGATCTGCCCCCATGACCCAAACACCTCCCACCAGGCCCCACCTCCAACATTGTGGATTACATGGCACCATTACATTTGGAGGGACTAACATCGAAATGAGATCAACCCTTCGTTGTAAGGTTTAGAACTAGTTGGCCAAGTAACCAGAAATGATCTTGGGATTTTTATTGGAATTGCACTGAACTGAGTAACTTTCAGAGAAGTGATGTCTGTGCAGTATCAACGAGCAAACGATTTTTCTCCATCGACTCAGACTGTTTTTATGTCCCTCAGTGAAAGGTTGTAAGGCTCGCACCTTCACTTCTTTTTTATTTGTTGGAATATCCAATCTTTAAGTTCCAGACCACAGAGCAAGTCTACAGTAATAAAAACTGTAGTAATGGAAAACAGGTTTTGAAGCAGTTTTGGGGGAAGAGTGTACTAGCTTATATTTATTTTTCTCTTGTTGGCTAACTCTTGTATCAACAGTATTTTATACAAATGTGACACTTGACATTGCCAAGCAGTCCTTAAGGCACACTGCAGGAGACTTCTGCCCCTTGGTTGACATCTGTTCTATCAGCATTTGGTTTAGCAGTTGTTCACCAAATAGTAAATCCAGTAATTACATCATGCATATGCTTATTTGTTTATTTATTTTGAGACAGTCTTGCTCTGTCACCCAGGCCTAGAGTGCAGTGGCGCAATCTTGGCTCACTGCAACCTTTCAGGTCAAGCTATTCTCCTGCCTCAGCCTCCCGAGTAGCTGAGATTACAGACATGTGCCACCATGCCCAGCTAATGTTTGTAGTTTTAGTAGAGGCGTGGTTTCACCATATTTCCCAGGCTGGTCTTGAACACCTGACCTCAAGTGATCCACCCACCTCAGCCTCCCAAAGTGATGGGATTACAGGCATGAGCCACCGCACCTAGCCACATATACATTTCTACCCACAGAAAAATTATGGAAAATTTTGCCAACTGTGTTTCTTAAATTTAGAATTACTTTATCTGTGGAATATTCCTCTCCTAATGAATCATTCTTGTTTCTGAAGATCACTTGCCATATTCTACCAGCAGTCTGTGTCCAGGTTTTCAGTCTAACATTATGAAAATCATCTCCCCCAGCACACTTATTTGCCTGTATCTAGTCTTCTCACGTTTCTTCCATGCCACGTGATTTCTCATAATTTGCTAAAATTACAGTAGCTTCAGCCTCTGATTTTCCGATACAGTGTTTGATCACATCAGCCTTTATGTTAAAATCTCAGTCCATTACTGCTCACAGAAAAAAATACTTGTTTTTTAGTATTGCTGGGAGACTCCTGTCCTGACATATATGATTATTTAAAAAAAAACTGTAGTAAACAGGCCAGGCATGATTGCTCATGCCTGTAATCCCAGCACTTTGGGAGACCAAGATGAACAGATTGTTGAGCCCAGGAGTTCAAGACCAGCCTGAGCAACATGGTGAAACCCAGTCTCTACAAAAAATGTAAAAAAAAATGTGGTGGTGAGCCCCTGTAGTCCCAGCTACTCAGGAGGCTGTGATGGGAGGATCACTCGAGCCTGAGGGTATGAGGCTGCAGTGAGCTGAGATCATGCCACTGCACTCCAGTCTAGGCGACAGAGTGATACTCTGTCGAAAGAAAGAAAGAAAGAGAGAAAGAGAGAAGAAAGAAAGAAAGAAAGAAATTATAATAAACTACATTTTTAAAAATGCTGCAATGGATAAAAATGATTACAACTAGATAAGCAGCCTCTAAATTGCCTGAATACCTAAGGCTTCTTTGCTAGTTGACATCTGATTTATTTCTGACACTGACAATCTTTAAGGGTGATAAAAGGGAAAAAGGGGGTTTGCTAGGAATTCTGCAGTCACTTAAGGGGTATCCTGATAGGGAATTTTAAGCAGTTACGGAAAGTCTCTTTAAACTTTTAACCATGATTAAACTTACACAATTTTGTTATCATTTGTGTTTCTCCAGCTTCCAGTTGTGGAAAAGATAAGAACCATTGCCCAGGCTGTCTATGGAGCCAAAGATATCGAACTCTCTCCTGAGGCACAAGCCAAAATAGATCGTTATACTCAACAGGTAAAAGTTGTACTTTAGTGGGGGAAAAAAACCCACCTTAGGCTCTCATAATACTCAGCTTGAATTGAGGATTTGTACATGTCTCACCAGCGCTCACCTTTGCTTAATCTATTTTATGGTTAACAAATATTAAAGTAATATCCTCGGGTAGAGTGTAGATTATATTTAGAACTTTATGGTGAGGCATATATCCTCTGATCTGTGACTATAAATGTGTCTGATATGGGTGGTATCTCTGTTTGTAGGTGATGTGTGATCTTTCTTCCCTCCCACTCAGCCCAAAACGTTGAAACTGTCCTTTGGAGTAAAGCTGCAGAGTCAGATTTAGATGAATTGCAATGCTTCCTTTTCCTTGCAGGCCTCTTACTACCTTAAAAAAATGCTAGCATGGTGCCAGGGTCGGCAAACAGGAGCGCAGCCTGTAAAGATGGGAATGTTTGGTGTTCTTCTTATGCAAGCGGTTCGTTGGCTTTTTACTGAGCTTGCCCACTGAGGTCGAAGGCTCTATCATCTTCTACCTCTAGCCACTGACAAAGGCAAGTAGGCGAGCAGCTGAGAAAGTGGCTGTGATCTGACAGCATGTGTCACCGTCTAGACCAATGACAGTCACAATCAATCAACTCCATTCCAGGAGGCTCAGCCACCTTCACCAACAGGACTATATGCCTCGAGTGTCCCCCTACTTTGGTGTAATAGGTCAGAACATGTTAAGAGCCTGCTGGCTAGAGAAATTCATGATGGGTAGTATTGACCTTTTCTTTAAAAACATTCCCCAACTCCTTATGCTTTTTTGTAAACCAATTTGAAATTTTGTTACATGCTACCATTACCAGCCAGCGTATTTATTCTAGGTTTGTTAAGATACTCAGCAACTGAGAAAATTCTAAATTCTTAGAATTTTCCCTGTATGTTCTTGGCTTATCCTTTACAAAAAGGATTCCCAGGCACTGCTCTGTGCACTGGCGTTGTGGTGTTCATTCATGTGCAATGAACCAAGTAAAATCAGGTCATTCTCATGAGATTAGTTTGGTGTGTTTTTTTTCCCCATGAGTTTTTAGTAATCAAACTTAAGGCTATCATTTAATACGTCCTTTCTCCTTTCAGTGTTAAAATGTTATTTCCTTTATGGAGTAATCTGGTGATAGTATATGTCATTTTGGCTGGTTTTTTGTTTGTTTCTTTTTAATATGCCTACTGACAAAATTTTTACATTAGCAAGCATATATTAATTCATTGAAAGTATTTCAATATTTAACCATGTCTGAAATTCAAAATTCTGGCACCATCTCTGAAAAGCAGTTGTGATTGTCCTCTAGCAAAATTCTCATCAGTAGAGGAGAGTAGAGATTTCAAAAAGAAAATGGTCACAAGCCCACGCCCTCCCTGAGTTGTTAAGACTCTAAGATAGTTTTAGGCTAAATCTTAGGAAAATTTGACCTGGGTTACTCTGAAGATTGCATTCCCTTTATCTCTATCTATCAAGGAAATAGTCCTTAAAAGTTGTGTCAGTTGAGCGTGGTGCTCACGCCTATAATCCCAGCACTTTGGGAGGCCAAGCCAGGAGGATCCCTTGAAGCCAGGAGTTTGAGACCACACTGGGCAACATTGCAAAACTCATCTCTATTTTTATGTTTTAAAACAATTAGTGTCAAGTATGTAGTTGTAATGAATTAGCAAAGCCTCTAAAGGAACATTATGTGCCATTTAATCAGAACCAGGCTGCGAGGACACTGTCCTTTTTGTGAGACATCACATATGACTTCCTGCTCTTTCACCTTTGGATCTCTGGGTCAGACATAGACTTTGATCCTTAAAAACAAGAAGCTTAAATAGTGACCTCATCTTAGTTCTTATAATGTAATCGCACATCAAATAGCTGTGATTCATAAACCAACACAAAGGGGCCCTTTGCTTCCTGACCGACTGCAAGAGCGAGTGAACAACATGACTAAAAGCCTCGCCTCTCTCCACACTACCTTGCTGGGTCTCAGATATTAATAGTCTTGGAAAGTGGTTTCTACAGCTGCTGCCTTGCCTGAAAATAGCCACGCTTTCCCCAAACATGCGCATAACATTGCCTTCTCTTAAAGAGAACCTCCAAAATAAACAGTAGTTGCCCTTGACCTGCTAAACAGTGATCGCATCGAGATGAGTTTTTATCCTCACCTTCTTGCTTGTTCAGGGAACAAGAAGTAACAAGCAGCTCCAGCGTGTGCCCCGATCCGAGCCGGCATACCATTGCTGCTGAGACTGTGTAAGTGCAAATTGAAAAACGCAGGAGACTAACATACCCAGTGAACACATTTTCTTTCCTTTCTTACAGGGTTTTGGAAATTTGCCCATCTGCATGGCAAAGACCCACCTTTCTCTGTCTCACCAACCTGACAAAAAAGGTGTGCCAAGAGACTTCATCTTACCCATCAGTGACGTCCGAGCCAGCATAGGTGCTGGGTTCATTTACCCTTTGGTCGGAACGGTGAGTCAGTCACATTTTCCAAACCCACCCCCATTCTGCATTGCTGTGGTTCCTCAAATCATCATGCTCCACCTACTGTTTAAAAATTATGTGTTAGGGAGAATTCGGGTGTAATTAATAGCACAGTATTTGCTGTTTTTCTAGACACTCCGTCTCACCCACCTTCGCCATGGTAGTTTGGGTTTTTCTTTTCTTAGATCGTGCCTTCAGGATCCGTAGAGTCATAATATTAATTTCCTTCCTAAGGCAAATACGAACATCACTTGGGAGAATTCAGTCTGTTATTTAAATGACAGCATGGCTTAGGACAGTGGCTGTCAACCTTTATCACACATGGCACTCCAGATGATGTTGTGCCATGGTGGAGTTGACTGCTCATGCCAAGCAGGATCCGCCCAGTCACCCCAAGGGCTGGGGAAAGCAGCCCTCACCCTCTCCCACTTCCCCAGCATATCAGGTGGGAAGCTCTGACTTGGGAAATTAGCGAATCACATGAGTTCTCATTTTCGATGTTGTTGTGATGGGGATTGCGTTGCTGTTGGATGATTATTCTGTTATTTTGTGATCTGTGGGGGTAAAGGAGATGAGCAGAGAAATAAAAGCTTATCAAAGTGCTTAAAATCCATGATGATGGGCTTCATTCAGAAACTGCTTCATTATGGCTACACAGTGATAGCCTTCCGTTGGTACCATCAGTGGCCTGAATTTGACCTCTTGTCATGGGAGTGCTCCTGAATTTGATTTAGAACAAAAAGAAATTCTTCAAACCTGGCAGATCCCATGCAAGCAGAGAAAAAAAAATTCGAACCCATCATCATCATCATTACAAAGTGATCTGAGCCCAAACAGCATACATTATAATAATTTTTTATAATGAACCATGTGGCTCTATTGTGCACACAAGCAACAGATAGACAAAAAGTGCAGATTCGTGCCTTGATGTTTACATACTTCATCTAATATTGGACACATGCTTTTTTAATCTGCATTTCTTGAATTCTTCCTGCATGTGAGGCACAGAGATTTTAAGAAGAGCAGGTGGGAGATGCATAGGTTTGAACAGCACAGAGGTATCTGGAGAGCGCTGCGTTGGCATTCTGAGTGCCCTCAGAGCCTGTGGGGGTAACAGGCTGCCTGGGGCAGAATTTACCCAGGATATGGAGCAAGAGAGGACTCAAGAATGCTTCAAAAAAGGGCTTAACCTCTGAACTGGCAAAACAGAATGAGTTTTGACTCAAAGGCACCAAAGTACTCATACATGGCATCCTCCTCTGGGGTGGGGTGAGCCAGTGTGGCTGGAGTTGCATGAGGTGGGGAGGCCGGGGAATGTGATTGGGAGTGGGAGTGGGGATAGCAGGATGGGACCACATGGCCAAGGGTCTTGAAGACCATCGCATAGAACTTGAATCTGATCTCGGACACACTCGGGAGCCAGTGTAAGGTGGGGTTTTTTTGTTTGTTTCTTGGTGTTGTTTCTTGTGTTTTGGTGTTTTTGTTGTTGTTTTTTAATAAGGAGAAGAATATGGTCTTATGTGTATTTTAGAAAAATAGCTGTGGCAGCATTGTGGAGAATGTTTAGTGAAAAGAGAACCAGGCCCAGCGAGGTGGGTTAATTCAGCTGCGGCCAGAGGCAATTAGGGTCTGTACTTTGGCCACAGATGTAGGTATGGAGAGTGCAGGTCAATTGTAGGTGTACTCCAAAAGTAGCCTCCTACCGTAGGAGCCGGGGGGAGGGACTGTTCTAGCCTGGTCACTCTGCATGGTGATGCTATTGGTTATGTAAATGACACGGGAGGAGGCAGATTGGCAAGGCCAGAAATGAGCCTGGCTTGGACAGAGAGCTCGGAGGGTTAACAGGATCTAAGGAACAGTCTGTGCCTCCACTGGAGATACAGACACAGCACTCCAAAGAAAGGGACAGGAAGGTCGGCCTGGTGGGTTTAAGGGTATGGGTGAAGGCAGTCATTAAACAAGAGAGACGCACTGATAGCAGGAAATCACTGAGAACAGAGTAAAGGAAGACACCCTTGCAACACCCACGTTCACACAGCTGACTCCTCGCAGTGGGGGCCTTCCAGGAGGCGGGAAGGAAGCAGCAGCAGAGTGGCAGAGAACATCCAGAAAGCTCCCTCAGATGCTCTGGCGGCAGTGTTGGCACAGGGAGCAGGGTCCAGATGAAATGGGTTCTGAATGACATTCAGGTCTACAGTTCAGATCAATGGTTGCCAGGAGCTGGGGTAAAGGGAAGTGTTTGACTGCAGAGGGGCAGGAGGGAGCTTTTTGGGATCATGGAAATACCCTGTGTTTTGACTGTGGGGTGATTGCATAGCTATAGACGTTCTTCCGGACTCATAGACTTATACACCTGTGTTGCCCAGGCTGGACTCAAACTCCTGGGCTCAATCAGTCCTCCCACCTCAGCTTCCCAAGTAGCTGTGACGACAGGCTTGTGAGCAGAAAAATAAAAGCTTATCAAAGTGCTTAAAATCCATGATGATGGGCCTGTGTATAATTGATTGCACTTCAGTTAAGAAAAACGGATACTGAAGAGCTTGCTTTCTATTCCTCAGAAGGGCCTCAGTGAAGGCCACTTTACTCTGGACTTTAGTCAGCGAAGGCCTTGGCTTAGGGATAAGAAGGCGGCTGGGCAGTCCAGGCCCAGACAGAGTAGACCATCAGAGGAGGTGAGGGGTGATGGAGGTGCCCAAACAACATGAAATGATAGAGAAGCTGAGGAGGTTAGCCTCCTTCACGATCTGTCCTGTCTTACCACCTGCGGATTCTAAATCCCACAGTAGTTCATCCAACAAATTCATTCATTCGCCCAGTTGCTGAATAAGGCACTCAGCTTGGAGCTACAGGGAGCCCGAGGCTAACGAAGCTTTCTCTGCTTCAGGCAGTTTATAGCTGGTAGTTGCAGATAGAAGTGAATTAACAAAAAAAATACTTTGGTATAAAAATTGTGCATTTAGCTGAAACCTTAATTCACTTCTGAGCATTTAATAGCCATTAAATAAAAACCAGGGCCCGGCACAGTGGGTCAAACTTATAATCCCAGTACTTTTGGAAGCCAAGGTAGGAGGATTGCTTCAGGCTAGGAGTTCAAGACCAGCCTGGGTAACATAGCCAGACTTCATCTCCACTTAAACAGAAATTAGCCAGGCGTGGTGGCACGCAGCTGGAGTCCCAGCTACTCAGGAGGCTGAAGTGGGAGGATTACTTGAGCCCAGGAGTTTGAGGCTACAGTGAGCTATGATCATACCATTGCACTCCAGCCTGGGAGATAGAGTGAGACCCCTGTCTCTACGAAAAAGTAGAATAAAATAATGAAAACCCCAATATAATTTAAAATCTTTGGAGTCACTAAACAAATATACAGTATAGTCTCCTCCCACTCCAGCTAACACCACCGTATCCAACACCAGCTAAAGACCACAGCTGTTCTGGAAAATCAGAATCTGTGGCTGTGGCTTGTGCCTGGACTCCAGGCTGTCCAATCCTGGCGTCACTCTTTGACTTATGACTTGTTAGAAAACGGATGTGTGGAATGACCCTGGAGGAGCGGCTGCAGCTCCCTGGGTTTCCTGAAGTGAGCCCTCTATGTCATTATCTGGTCTTCTCAGCCCTCGGCCGAGTTCCTCCTGTGGCCACACGCGAGGTCACAGTGAGCGTCAGTGCACAGTGATGAAATCCTCCTGGAACAATCGGGTGTGGGGCGTGAGGAAGGGAGTGGTTCCTGGCTACAGAAGTTCCTGGAGGTCAGGAAACCGTCACTGGAGGTGGGGGCCCTAGAAGGCTGCTTTCTGTGACAGAGCAGGAAGCCACATGTGTACTGGGACACATGCACCAGAAGGGCCAGGATCTCCTAATAAGGGCTGGTATTTACTTTTACTTGATCCCGTTCCGGGCCTTGCCACAGTCTGCTGAAATGCCTTGAACATTCATCACCCGGGTGGGAGACAGGATAGTAATTTCCTGCTGAGATGACTGAGGGGAAGTGGAATGGGAGCACCAGGGGGACTGTCTCTGGCAGGTGGGAAAATTCTAGCAAAATGAATCACTCTTCTGCTTAGTCACCCAATGTGGGCTTATTAGAGTGCTGCTGAAATACATATTCATCTATCCCCTCCAGAAAGGTAGTCCAAACTTAGACCTCAAGATAAGAAAGGCTCTCATTCTTCCACAGGGTTCATTCATCCACTCAGTGAGTTATTAAATGCCTACAGCACTCCAGGCCATCAACCACGTGGATATGAGAAAGACCCAGCCCTTCCTTCATAAGCCTTATGATAGACTCCAGTAAATAAAACCATACAGGCACTGAATGTGGCAGGCTTTATAGGAAAGGCAGAAAGCCCCTCTTGTTGTGTCCTCGAAGGAGGAGAGAAGCTCCCCTCTGGCTCTTGTTACAGAATCCCAACCCAAGCAAATCCATCCTTGAAAATAAACATCTCCAACATTGCTGGCTTTGGAAGACCCCATGGTGAGATACTGGAGCTTTTTTTACCTCCAGATTTCGCTTTCTAAATATTTACTTTTACTTTTCAACTTCACTTGTAGGCCAGACTTTTTTTTCCTACCATTGAATTATTTCATCATGTTCACCACAATCAAATAATAATAACAATTATTATAAATACTATCACCTGGTGTAACAGCTTGCCTAGTCTATTTCACTTCCCATGCTGTCGTTACTGAAGCTCCAAGCACAAGCATTCCCAGCTCATGGACGTCTAAGACCTTTGCTCTCATTCTTACAGGTATTACTAGTGTTTTCCATATTTCTTTATGGTAGCAATTTTTCCTTCCTAAAATAACTTTCTTCATTCCTCGTAAGCTTCATATGTATTTTACATATTCTTTCCTCTTTTTTATGGTATTATACATATTCTTGAAAGCTAGAAAATAATACAAGATTCTTGACTGACATAGTACCACTGAATACATCTTTTTATAAGAAATTGTTTTTCTAATACACATCTTGTGGCCAGGCATGGTGGCTCACAGCTGTAATCCCAGCACTTTGGGAGGCCAAGGCAGGCAGATCACCTGAAGTCAGGAATTTGAGACCAGCCTGGTCAACATGGTGAAACCCTGTCTCTACAAAAATACAATAAAATTAGCTGGACATGATGGCAGGTGCCTGTAATCCCAGCTACTCAGGAGGCTGAGGCGGGAGAATCGCTTGAACCTGGGAGGCAGGGGTTGCAGTGAGCCAAGATCGCGCCATTGCACTCCAGCCTGGGCAGCAGAGTGAGACTCTGTCTCAAAATAACAACAACAACAGATCTTTGATATGGGAAGAAATGAGCAAGTTGTTTTTTAAGGGTTTCCAACCCTATATTCTACTACAAATTACCCTGTTATGGTATGTTTCCAAAATGCTTTCAAAGCTTATGGTTTATAGTATTCAATAAACCTAATAGTTTATAAAATGTCTCAAAAAATAACCTCATGCCAAAAATAATTTAGTAGTAGGTGGTCTTTGTCTTGTAGTCACATTGTTTTGATATTGTCTTTACGTTTCTGTAATTTACAAAGGCTGTTTCATCAGTTGGCATAAATTTCATGACAAAAATATTAATATGTAAGAAAAGTATATGAAATGATATTATTAAGAAGTAAATTACATTCCATATACAAAAAGACTAGAAAGGCAACACCAAACCCTTAAATTAGACAGTGATATTATGAGTAGCTTTTTTTCTTTTTTTCTTCTCTTTTCTTTTCCATATAGATCAAATTATTACATTGGGCATATATTACTTTTATAACATGAAAATACAGTCAATAGAGGATGATAAGCTGCAGTGCATGGGCAGAATGTTTAACCCAGTCTATTTGCAAGAGAGTGAGAACACCCACACGGCTGTGGGAGTGGGCTCCGGGCCGCCCCCTGGCCGGTCCTGGCTGTCTTGCTGTGTTTTAGCACCTCAAAAGTTGGGACAGCGAAGAAAGACTGTAAGAGCTAGAACGTTTTTATAAGAAATGCATTCAGTATGATTTGTCTAGCTCTGACTAATGTTTGCAAACGCCCAAATTCTGCTAAGCAAATGCAAGATTGCTTTTCCCTGTTAATTTGTCCCTGGGCCCTTCTTGCTTACTGTGTTAGGGGTTGGAGAGGGGGTGAGTGACTTCTTTCTTTTCACAGTGTTTTCTCTCTCTCTCTCTCTTTTTTTGAGACAGAGTCTTGCTCTGTCACCCACGCTGGAGTGCAGTGGCTTCACTGCAACCTCTGCCTTCTAGGTTCAAGTGTGCTCCTGCCTAGCCTCCTGAGTAGCTAGGACTACAGGTGCACACCACCGACATCTGGACATCTGGCTCATTTTTTGTGTTTTTCACAGAGACTCGGGTTTCACTATGAGGTAAGGCTGGTCTCAAACTCCTGACCTCAAGTGATCCACCCACCTCTGCCTCCCAAAGTGCTGAGATTACAGGCATGAGCCACTGCGCCTGGCCATCTCTCACAGTGTTTTTTAAAACAACATTGAGTTTTCACAACGTTGGCCTGGCAAGGTGTCCAACCAAGTTTGAATTCATAGCAGATATCCACGTGAAATTGATTTTGGGTGTATTTGACTGTTTTCCATTGACTTTGCATGGAGGCAGTGAGACAGTCTTTTTTTTTTTAAACCCAGTTTTTGAGAAGAGAGAGTCTTGAAGAAGAACATAGCATATGAACCCTTTTGTCACTGATGAACATCAAGAAGCATGTCTTGACGGCTATTTATGAAAACACTCTGGGCTGGAATTTAGGGGTTAAGCATCCTGGCAGTTCACCTAGAAGGGATGAAACTATCCAGAAGCATTTAGATGATCGTCAGTGCCATGTAGGGCATCTCTGGGGGCAGGTGGCTCCTGGCACTGTAGAAAAAGACCATTGATGCTTCCGTCTCCCAGTTGGAGGAGAGAGACATGCTGTGGATGTCCCACCAGCTTAGGGCTGGCGCCATGTAGCTATCTCTGCATGGTTTCCTTCCCTGTCTTCCTATAACTCCTTCACTTTGGCCCCTGTGCCCTTTCTGGGCAGAGGGTGTCAGGGGGCACTGCATGCGTACATGCTTTTTTTCCTCCTGTTGGGATCGGCCTGGGCTGTACCCATCACGTGGTAGAACCCCGTCCAGGGACCAGGCCCTGAAAGACCAGCAGTTTATTTAACCAGGTTGTCCTTTGTCTGTACTCCCTGTGACCCGGCCCTGCTACATCTTTACCCAGGTGCATCACTGACATCATCACTCGGCCGGACTCTAGAAAGCAGGAAACTCCTGGAGCATGTTTGGGGCATCAGTGATGTCACCTACTACGAATGCCGGGTGGGGTTACTGGACTTGGACTGAGGGCCATGAAACAGCAAGCTGCGGCCCCACCCCGTGGACTCAACTGCCGTTCTGTTCTTTCTCACGTTTCAGTTCAGCTCCCTTTGTTTTCTGTTCCCCTCCCTCTACTGTAAAAGTATGTACTGAATGTTTTGTTTCCTCCTGGATCTGATTCAGGTCAGTGAGGAAGTTCTTTGCGAGCTCAGTGGGGAGATGTTTCCTCCCCTTTGTACCGGCCCTACTTAGGGTGCACAGTTATACACTCGCTTCGCTCGGTTGGCATGGAGGAGAATTCAGACCTCATAGGTTTAAATCAAATGCATGACCCTTCACATTTGCTAGAGATTTACCGCCAGTTACAGTGAGACAATTAAACATTCACCCCCACCGCCGCCGAGCTGCACTTGGAGATGTATAAGCAGTAATTAATGCAGTAATGCGCCTCCCATGATGTGAGAGTGTGCGGAATGCCACTCGCCCCAGTGGCTCCGCCAGGACCTCTGCAGGGGGCATCTTGCCTGCAAATCACCCACTCCCCTTTTCTCTCCTCACTCTCCACTTTGCCTGCTTTTCCACCTCCGTACCCACAAATAAACAAAGAAACCCTGAGCTTATTTTACAAAAGTCTTTGAAATGGTCCTCCTCTCTCTGATGCTTCTGGGCCCTGCTTTGCCCCATCTCTGCAGTCTCTGACGAGGGTGAAATAAGCCGGGTTTGGCTCATGCCCTCCCGTCTGGCCTCACTTTATTTGTGTACCTGTGTCCTTTGCCTCCGATCCTGGGATCCTGGTGGTTTCCTCCTTCCCACCCAGCTTGGGTCTTTTTCCCCAGTGTTCTTCCGCATCTCTACATCAGAATTTTCTGCTTTCTCCCAGATATGTGTTTCCTTGGCCCAGGCGTCCACTGTTTCCTGTCATCATGAGGTCCCTGCAGCAGGTTGCCTGATGGTGTTGTGGCCACGCCTTCCTGCACAGCCCAGGGAAAGCCACGTGGATGTCTGTGTCATAGGAAAGGAGCCATCCCTGTCTTCTCAGGGTGGTGTGTTCAGGGGGAAGGAAGGTGACCAGCGTCGTTCTCCGTTTCCAGAAACTGTGTATCATATTGACAAGAAGAAAGCTTTGTGACTCATGAGCATGAGGTTTTCCTCTCTGGTACATAAGGTTATCTAGGTCCAATCCATTTGTGTAGAAGATCTTCTCTCCCCGAGTGTGATGTACATTTATTTTTAGCATAAGTATAAAACTACTTTAAATGAAATCAGCCTCAGCCAGGGAAATAGGCTGAGTAATAATGTTGCCGGATATTTGTACCACTGAGTTGAGTTTGTAATTCACCGCTGTTAATCCCCACGTGTCACTTCTGACTTTTTACTCTTTGTATACATAGAAAAATGGTGTTTCTCTTCAGAGTCAGGGAGGGGGAAAAAAAAAAGATGCTTATAATACTTTCTGTCCAGGCCTAAAATCAGCATATTGATCTATTTTTTTTCCAGGGATTGATGAAATATTACTCAGATACTTTCATACATCTGGTAAATATATAGAAAGACAGACACGTTTTTCTTCTTCCGCTTTCATCTACAGCCTATTTGTTTTCTTCCCCCCATTTTTTGTTTGGATTCATAGCACAATTTGGCAACAAAGATTCTTCTCAATTTAGAGCTTCCAAGAGGCACTCATAAAAGTATGCGGCGCTCATGGAGTTTCTCTTTCTCGTGTGCCTCTTAGCTGCGTCCATTACACTTTTCTATCCCATCCTTGGCTAAGAGGCATAGAATCAGAAGCAGCTAAGCAATGTATGCAAGGGAAATAAAATGAATGCAAACCAAGATACCGGTGCTGTAAATTAGATGGCCAGGCCACCGTCAGAGGCAGTTTGAGGGTTTAGTGTGAAGCCTGAATAAAAAGAGAAGTTAAACTGTTTAAGAAGAGGGTTGGCCGGGCGCGGTGGCTCACGCCTGTAATCCCAGCACTTTGGGAGGCTGAGGCGGGTGAATCACGAGGTCAAGAGATCGAGACCATCCTGGTCAACATGGTGAAACCCCGTCTCTACTAAAAAAAAATATACAAAAAATTAGCTGGGCACGGTGGCGCGTGCCTGTAATACCAGCTACTCAGGAGGCTGAGGCAGGAGAATTGCCTGAACCCAGGAGACAGAGGTGGCGGTGAGCCGAGATCACGCCATTGCACTCCGGCCTGGGTGACAAGAGCGAAACTCCATCTCAAAAAAAAAAAAAAAAAAAAAGAAGAGGGTCAAGCTTTAAAACTGGAATTGGCTTTTCAAATTTAATCAGTAAAAGGAAACCCCCAAACTGGAATTGTAACTGTGGAGAAATGTGACTGATAATGACTGGAACTCATGGCCATTTACAGGCTTAACTATGTATGTGTTCCTTAAATTATCCACCAAGATATCAGATTACAATTAGTCCTCATTTAATGTCATCGACAGGTTTTTGGAAACTACCACTTTAAGCAAAAGGATATATTGCCTGTGATACCAGTATTCTTACAGTCTAATTGATAGAAACAAGAGTTGAGTTACGAAGCCACACAGTATCTCCTTTCACTTAAAGTCACTTTCCAGGAACCTATCCACAATGTTAAGTGAAGACTTACTGTAAATGAAAATATTTGCAGTAAATTGCTTTTGAGAGAATTGCTTATCACATACTCTTTTTGGATATCATTGAAAATTCAGAATGTTTAATTAGATCAGGCTGTACTCACTAATATAAAATCAGGGAACATGTATAAAGTAGGTGTAGGGAAATAATTTGTGTTAGATTAAATGATCCAATGAAGGAATTTGATTAAGCCCCTAGAAGTCCCATAATGAAAATGTATAGTTGCATGACCAACCCCTGTAAGAATTGGCTGGGGGGCCGGGCGCGGTGGCTCACGCCTGTAATCCCAGCACTTTGGGAGGCAGAGGCAAGTGGATCACGAGGTCAAGAGATCGAGACCATCCTGGTCAAAATGGTGAAATCCCGTCTCTACTAAAAATACAAAAAATTAGCTGGGCATGGTGGCGCGTGCCTGTAGTCCCAGCTACTCAGCAGGCTGAGGCAGGAGAATTGCCTGAACCCAGGAGGCGGAGGTTGCAGTGAGCCGAGATCGCGCCATTGCACTCCAGCCTGGGTAACAAGAGCGAAACTCCGTCTCAAAAAAAAAAAAAGAATTGACTGGGGTTTCTGCATTAAGTATGCTTCCCAGGATGTTTGTAGTAAGGATATTGTGATCTGTTAAGAAAGAGACCTAGAGCTGTGAACATAAAGAGGCCAATTCCATCCTGGACGTCATCTCCTTTTTGACTCATCCCAACCCCAAGAATAAGTTGTAGAGTGTAGGACCCATGAAAGTTACCTACTGTAACTTTCAGCGTGCTTCCCCATCCAGTCTCCGACGTATCTGTGCTTCTTCTCTGAATGCATAGTTACTTGGGATTTCATGCTTTATTAATCTTTTCTCATATTACTGTAAAGAACTGCCTGAGACTGGGCAGCTTACCTGCAAAATCACCCACTTTATAGTTTATAAAGAAAAGAGGTTTAATTGATTCAGTTTCACAGGCTGTACAGGAGGCGTGGCTGGGGAGGCCTCAGAAAACTTAAAATCATGGTGGAAGGCGAAGGGGAGGCAAGACGTCTTCACATGGCGGCAGGAAAGAGAGAGAGATTGGAGGGGCAGTGCCACACACTTTTAAACAACCAGATCTCATGAGAACTCAGTATCACAAAAACAGCAAGGGGGGAATCCACCCCATGATCCAGTTACCTCCTACTAGGCCCCTCCTCCAACACTGAAGATAGTTATTCATCATGAGATTTGGGTGGGGACACAGGGTCAAACCGTTTCACGTGCCTTTCCCAGGACTGGTGTTAGAGGAATGGTGCCCTTGTCACATCTGCCAGGATATACTCAGCACCTCGCAGCACTTCGTTTCTCTTTCAAGCACACCTCTGCACTTGTGCTGCCAGCTAAGGTTTAATGCAGCTACTTCCTTTGTGTATCCTCTTACCTTATTTACCAAGTCGCCTCACCCACCATCCCCTGTTAATTAAGGTACCACCTCCCCCACTTCCCACTTCTAGTATAGAGGCTGTGTCTTTAGTTCTCTTGGCCTTCCCACAATGGGATGGCCAGTGTAGAACATACCCTAGGAGCCAATTAAATGTACTAATGGCCTGCCAACCCTGCAGAAGGCTAGGGAATCTTCAGGGAGTCCACTGCCAGTGGAAACTCACCAGTACTAGAATTCCAGGCTCCAAAAAAGTCTGGAAAAGTAAGTCTTTTAAGGAGCTAATAAGAGGCGCAAGTGCCCACAAATCCTGTCTGCTCTTGGCGCCATCCTTTTGGGGTCAGCATGCTAGTCTTTCTTGTCAAACCAGTTACCGACCAGCAAGACTAAAAAACCAGGCCCAAACACATTCTATTCATGTGCTTAGATACGGACCTACGGATCAAATATCCCACTGCAAAGCAAAAAAACTGTTTTTCCCCTGTACTCTCACACCGAACACAGCGCACTTCTGTGGCTGGCTGTGTGGGGGCTACTCCTCCCATACCAAGCAACTCTCATGAACACCAGACGGGTGTCCTCTTATTCAGTTCAATCCTGACAGTGTCTATCTGGAGATAGTGTTCAATCCCACAGATTACTGCTCATTCCCCTGAGACCAGACCCACTTCAGGCACGAAGTGCAAGTCCAGCCCACCCATACTTTTGACCACCTGGCTAAAAATCGGGTTCACGGCCGGGCATGGTGGCTCATGCCTGTAGTCAATCCCAGCACTTTGGGAGGACGAGGCAGGCAGATCACTTCAAGTCAGGAGTTCTAGACCAGCCTGGCCCACATTAACCCCATCTCTATTAAAAATACAAAACTTAGCTGGGCTTGGTGGCAGGCGCCTGTAGTCCTAGCTACTCTGGGGGCTGAGGCAGGAGAATCACTTGAACCTGGGAGACAGAGGTTGCAGTGAGTCGAAATCCTCCCACTGCACTCCATGCTGGGAGACAGAGCGACACTCCGTCTCAAAACAAACAAAAAACACCAGGTTCACATGAGCCCCTTCCCTTGGGTTCAGTTAATTTCATAGGACGGCTCACAGAACTCACAGAAATACTTATTTACAGAGGTGTTATGATAGATATTGATTTTCGTCCACTGGTCCTGGCTTCTAACTCCCATAACCTTTCTCACAGTCTTTTGTTACAATGTTGGGGGTGTCAGGCCTTGCGGGCAGCCCTCTGTCCTTCCCTGCCCTCCTTCCACTGTAATGTTTCTCCATTTCTGGTTGAGTGTCTTAAGACCCTCCCATGGGAGGGTCCTACCCTACACCTAGTGGGAAGGAATGTGGATATCATGAAACTTCCATAAAAACCCAGGAGGATGGTTTTGGGTGATGGGTGAGGGTTCAGGGGGCTTTTAGACAGCCAGACATATGGAGCCTCCTGGAGGGCAGGGCACCCAGGTAAGGCATGGAAGCTCTGCACCTCTTCCCCCCGTACCTCACCCTACACATCTCTTCATCTGTGTCCTTTGCAATATCTTTTTTTTTTTTTTTTTTTTTTTATTGTGGAGACAGAGTCTTGCTCTGTCGCCCAGCCTGGAGTGCAGTGGTGCAATCTCAGCTCACTGCTATCTCTGCCTCTCGGGTTCAAGCGATTCTCCCACCTTAGCCTCCTGAGTAGCTGGGATTACAGGCACCTGCCATCGTGCCCAGCTCATTTTCGTATTTTTAGTAGAGGCGGGGTTTCACCACGTTGGTCAGGCTGGTCTCGAACTCCTGACCTTCAGGTGATCCGCCCACCTCCGCCTCCAAAAGTGCCGGGATTATATGTGTGAGCCACCTCGTCCAGCCTGCAGTATTCTTTATAATAAACTGGAAATGTTAAGCATGTGTTTCCCTGAGTTCTGTGAGCTGCTCCAGCAAATTAATCAAACCCAAACAGGGGATCCTAAGAACCGCAATTTGAAGCCAGTCAGTCAGAAGTTCCGGACTTGCGACTGGTGTAGTGAGGGGTCACTCAGCCCTGTGGCATCTGACGCTATCTCTGGGTAGACACAGTCGAGACTGAACTGGAGGACACCCCTACCTGGCATCTGCTGCTTGGTGTGTGGGGAAACGCCCTACACATTTGGTCACAGAAGTCTTCTGTGTTGATGACTTGTGGTGCAAGAGCAGATGAAAACACAGTTTGAGGAGAGCTTTTCCCAACTCACGTATGTTTACCAGTTTATTATAAAAGATACAGATGAGTTGATGCATAGGGCGAGGTCTGTGGAGTTGGGGTTCACCTCCCTCTTGGCACAAGGTTGCCCGGAAACTCATCAGGTCTTGTCCAAGGGTTTTTGTAGAGCTTAATCTCCAGTCCCTGACCTCCACCTTTCCTGGAGGTCAATGGGTGGGGCTGAAAGTTCCAGCCTTCCAATCTTCTTCTCACTTGGTCTTCCCATCCTGAGGCTGACTGGAGGCCCACCCCGTCACTCCATTACCTTAAGCTCAGGTGTTATTGAAGGAACTCTTTATGAATATAGCAAAAGACACCCCTACTCAAGAAATTTCAAGAGTTTTAGGACCCCTGTGACTAGAACCAAGGACAAAGACGAAATATATTTCATATGATCGCACAACAACCAGATTGGATTGCGGCGCTGTGCAGCCTTTAGTGTGGAAGCTCCTTGACCACATTTTCCACCCAGGCACTGCCTTTCTGCATCCTCATCATCATGACCATTGCCTGTTCTTAGCAAAGGTCACACACCTTCCAAATGCTTTGTATAGATTAGCTCATTACTCCCCATACTCACCCTGGGAGCACAGCCAGTGATAAGGGATAGAGTCCTGGTGTTCTGTGGATACTATGGCATATGGCAAAGATCCCATAAGCCATAGTATCCACAGAACACTAGGACCTTGGCAACGTCTTCCTCTTTCTTTTTGGTTGGTCAGTCAGCATGTACTCACAGGGCCATGCGAGCTGAGCCGGAGACATCACAAGGAAGTCAAAACCTGCTGTCACCCACCAGAGGCAGCAGGATGCTTGGATCAATAAGGCATAAGCACCCAGAGCCTTAAAGCACGTATGTTAGTACGGCCCTTACCAAAAGAAAGATGTAAGTGATTAATGCAATAGATGTTCAAATACGGCAGAGACCACAGTGGGCAGGGTAGGCCAAGAATGCTGGCTAAGGAGTGGGGCTTAGGGTGAGGCTAGGGCATTTGAGACACTGCAGGCCCATCACCCTGGCTGTTCCCTCCTAAGGGAGGCAGGAACCGAGGCCGGAGACCTGGAGACGCCTGTGCATTAGCCTGGAGGCTCTTTGATAAGGAGCTTCCAGTGGGGGCCATAACATGGGAAGTGGAGAGGCTGGCATATGTACTGCCAAGGGATGGGATGTGAGAAAGGGGTCGACATGAGTCCCGGGGACCTGGAAGGATGGACCAGAGAGAGCCACTTTAAACCGACACGGCATTGAAGTGACTGACAGACCCACAGCTGCCCCTGCCGAGGCCAGCGTTTGACTTCCTGCCAAGTTGGCCATCAGACAGTTAGAAATCATTTTTGGAGTTAAGGAGAGAAGCCAGGGCTAAAAATTGGGGAGTTATTTACATTGGGAGTGATATACAGTCTCTACATTTCCATCCAGTTCAAAACATTCTTGCATGTCTGCTACGCACTGTGCGCTGAGGTTACCAAGACTGGAAAGACCCAATCCCTCCCTGGAAGCTTAGCGTCGGCAGACAAGCTGATACATGTGAACAAAGGGCGCACAGATGCCAGGATGCAGAGGGACTCAGAAGAATGTTGGTTGCTTCTCTATCCAGGAGTGCCCTGAGGTGTCCTAAAAAGAGGAGCATTTATGACTCAGGCAGGGTCGCACATTCCAGACAGTAGTGGGCAGGAGCCCTACTCCAGAGTGCCTTAGAGGCTACAGCTGGGAGTTGAGCTGGACCCTGAAGGCGGTGGGGTGAGCCTTAAGAAGCCCTTAACCAAGGGAAGAATGGGATCAGACCATTGCCTAGCTCCGGCAGCATCGTTGCTAGCAGCCTGTGTGAATGAGGGTCCTCTCTCAGGTGCCCACCATGCAAGGGCTCTAGGTCATTCTTCACTGTCTTTAATCAGAAAAGCAAAACTCCCAGCTGTTTCCCCTGCCTGAACTGTGTGAGCCCAAGCTGGCCCCAGGATGGATCTTGTCCTAGGTAACCAGGAAAGCCTGAAATGTCAGAAGAGGTAGCTCCAGGCTGGGTCAAGGGTCCAATGAGCCATGACTGCACTGAGATCCCCTGTCTTGGATTGCTGAAACAATAAGACTATACCCATCTAGTCATTAAGCCTCAATTTCGTTCCTAAATGGGCCATTATTTGCTACTGTTCAAAAGTTGCTTGAAACTATATTACACGCACAAACAGAATTGTCCCACAAATAAAGGAGGTAATCTCTCCTGTTGGAGACACCACGCAGTAGTTGTCCGACTTGCACAAATATTTCTGAATCATGAGAATCCTCCACTTTCAACTTACTTGCTGCTAGACCCCAGTTATTATAAGGCCATGGAGAGCAGTACCTGGTTTCCATTATCTTTGCTCTCTTTTTTTTATGACATGGTTGACACCACTTCCAGTAGCAAAGAGTAAACTGGTCATCAAAGCTGTAAAATCACAATGATAAGTGAAAAGTTCTCTTTTGTACTTTAGCATCCAAGAGAACTGTAGTTTCCAACTACAATGCTCAAAATAACTGATAGTTTTCACTTTTGGCCTGAAAATGCGTATATGACCTTGCCGGAGGACTTGTCTGCCATGGTCAGGTCTCCTGGCTGAAGGCACTCAGGTCCATGCTGTTGTTGGTGTTCCCTTGAGGTAAATGCATTCTGAATTTAGCAAATTATTCCTTTTGTCATCCTCTGTGCCATCTAAAAACAATATAGTTTAAAACGCTGTCCAGGCACAGTGGCTCATGCCTGTAATTCCAGCACTTTGGGAGGCTGAAGTGGGTGGATCACCTGAGGTCAGGAGTTCGAGACCAGCCTAACCAACAAGAGGAAACCCCATCTCTATTAAAAATACAAAAATTAACCGGGCATGGTGTTGGGCACCGATAATCCCAGCTATTCCAGGGAGCCGAGGCAGGAGAATCACTTGAACCTGGGAGGCAGAGGTTGCAGTGAACCAAGATTGCACCACTGCACTCCAGCCTGGGTGACAGAGCGAGACTCCATCTCAAAAGAAAAAAAAAATGCTTATCATTGTATAGATAGCCATAAAGGTCTTTATTATTTATGATGACCGTAACTGACTTTTTGTGAAAGTTGGTTTGGAATCTGCAGGTTATTTTAATTTTGATAACGCTATTATTTTAACTTTATGACAAGTTTGTCATAAAGAGTGGAACTTGTTCCTCTTTTGCGATTGAAACATTTTGTCAGGGAGAGAGAAGAGAGACATCAAACCACCTAACAGCCAGGTTCCAAGCTATATCTAGCTAGAAGTACAAGTATATTACATGTATATTTTCTTACATAAATGTCACTGGTACATGGAACTACATCAGACCAGTTACACTGTTGTAAAAATTTCTGAACAAAACATTCATTCAGCTTCTTTGAAGCTTTTTAAATTTTCATTTGAGGCATAAATTGGAACCTTGTATCTTTCTTTGGAGTAGGAAGTATTTCCAACAGAAAAAAAATGGTGGGTGCAACTACATCACAAAAAAGAACAGAAGGTTTCATGGACAGTGATAAAATTAAGCTTATGAATTAGAACTTCCAGTGGGAATTCTTAGTTGGACAGTACATGGTTAATGGTATATGGAAACCATGATGGGGGATCTTTGCCGCACTGGAAAAACCTGTGTCCATAAATCCTTCTCTAGTACTTCTTTGTGATCAAAGCGTCAAGCTGAGGACAGTGATGGAGTGCTCCGGTTCATCTGAAGTGCATGAGTCCCCTTTGCAGCAGACTCTGACATTCCCGGCCCTCTCCGGAGTGTTCCCAACACGCAGTCACTGCTCTCTACGTCACTACTTTAAAAACTAAAACTCGGCCAGTGGCAGTTTCCTAACTCTTCAAAGATCTTGACTTGTACGTTTTTCCCTGCATCTTCTCTATTGAGCACGTGAACTGACATCTTTCTACCCCCAAAATAATCGGTTCTTTCCCCCTAAATAGAATGGGTAATCCAAAAAAGACTCATTGAAAGGAAGTTGGAGATAAGTAATGCCTAGGTAGTTTTAGGAGCAGAATGAATGTCTCTAAGTATGTGCAGTGATTGCATGTTTAAAATGTTTAATGATCTGCAGAAATAGTGTGCTGAGTGGAGAAAAATGACATTTAGTAGAACATAATGTCAACAATGTAAAAATACATAGATGAGCAAGCAGGAATAAAGGAATGTTGAAATAAATTACAGTCATAAAAATTAAAACCATAATTCGGCGGAGCGTGGTGGCTCATGCCTGTAATCCCAGCACTTTGGGAGGTCAAGGCAGGCAGATCACTTGAGGTTGGGATTTCGAGACCAGCCTGGCCAACATGGTGAAACCTCATTTCTACTCAAAATAGAAAAATTCACCGGGCATGGTGGTGGGTGCCTGTAATCCCAGCTACTCAGAAGGCTGAGACAAGAGAATTGCTTGAACCCAGGAGGTGGAGTTTGCAGCGAGCCGAGATCACACCGTGCACTCCAGCCTGGGTGGCAGAGGAAGACTCCATCTCAAGAAAAAAAAAAAAAAAAAAAAAAAAAAACCCATAACTAGAACATTTATTGAGCACTTACAAGGTGCCAGCTATGCTCTGAGTGCTTTGTGTGTATTGACTCATTAATGCCCCCAGCACCTTTTGAGGCAGGTTAAAATCTCCATCTCAGTTTAACACGCAAGGAAACCAGAGCACAGAGAGCTTCAGGAACTTCCCCTCCTCATAAGATAGAAAATAGCAAAACCAGGATTCAACCCCAGGTTATCATACCTCCCATCTTTGTGCTGACTCTATAGTCTTATTTTCACATCCTATAAGTTACTGTAAGTAACTCTCGATTCTGAGAACCACGTAATAAGAAAGGGAAGCTTGCAGTTACCTACTCTTGCTTGATAATGCATTAATTCCAGGTAGGCTTTAAAAGTTTAGTAAATTTTAGGATACATTTTTGAACTGTTGTTTCCTACTGGCTGTCAGAAAACCATGTTGCTGAAAGGGGAAAATGTCTGGTGCTTTGTGGAGATTTTCCTACAGCTTTTCTGGCTGACCAGTCACTTGCACTCTGGAACTCTCCTAAAGCACATACAGCCCACTACATGTCATGGTGGGGATCCTGGACTTTCTGTCCTCCGTTAGCTTCGTATTCCTGAAGCAGATTTAGAACTGTTTCTGAGACTCGCCCTGGCTCCTCTTTCCGTGTTTGGGGTGGGTTAATCACCTCTTTAGGTGAGAGACTTGATTTGGGTCCACAGCTTCACAAAAGTATTGTCGACCCTGCTGGCCACGTGACTGGAGTGCTGGGCATGGGAGTGCACCCTGGCGTGGCAGAGTGGATTCGCTCCATGCCACTGCCAGAGAATAGGACTTGGAACCATCAGCCACCCGGCTTTTTCTGAAAGGCCCGCTTGGGCAATGGTGTCTGGAGAGTCATCTGAAGAACACAGCCTGTCGGTTCCTCTGGCGATGGTCTGGTTTTTATACCCAGACCAAGCTGCACCTCTTAGAGCTGTGCACTTATATGGTGTGGCAATTGCTTTCAGAGACATGTCCTGTAACATCATGTTCTTGTCACCTTTTGAAGGCCACTGGTGCTGTAGGGGAAGATCCTCACCAACACAGCAGGGCGCTGTTCTGTCACCCGCAACCCCATCTGGAGAGCTCACAGAAAGGGTTTCCTGGGTTGCTCCTCTTGCAAGCAGGACCTCTGCAAAGCTGCAGTCCCGAGCCTGTGTGCTTGCGTGTTTGCCCACAAGGTGGTCCGACTTGGGAGGGAAGGGACAGATCTTAGCCATCTCTGCATCCTAAATGCCAGTCCTTGCACTTGACACATAGTAGGTTTCATTTGTGGAACGAATTTCTTCCAGTCCTGACACTAAATTTTGGGTTTTTTTACTTTTTTTGTTGTTATTGTCTGTTCTGTTTGTATTTTGGGGTTTTTTGCTTTTCTCCCCCAGGGAATGAAAATGGCTTCTCCATATGAACCAGGCATATCCTCCGGCTGGGGCTGAGTGTCCTTGGTTGTTTGCTCTGATTGTAACTAATGAACAGCTCAGCTCTAGTAATTGCGGGCTTGCTGGCCCCAATGCCTGCCTTCTAACCGAACCTTGACTCTGATCCAGTATGTATTCTCCGTGATCCTGATTTCTGTCAATCTAATTTTTATTTCATTCTACGGCAAACCTGCTCATGTTCTTTGCTGAAATCAACCTCCCCTTTCTGGAATGGACATACAGAAAATTGGAGGCAAAATATAACAGTGGTTGTGCCTCAACTGCTTAAATACCTGAGAGACTGGCTCAGCGCAGTGGCTCGCACCTGTAATCCCCACACTTAGGGAGGCTAAGGTAGGCGGATTGCTTCACCCCAGGAGTTTGAGACCAGCCTGGGCAACATAGCAAGAACTCATCTCCGGAAAATTAACTGGACGTGGTGGTACACCTGTAGTCCCAGCTACTCAGGAGGCTGGGGTGGGAAGATTGCTTGTGTCTAGGAGGTGGTGGCTGAAGTGAGCTGTGATTGAGCCACTGTACTCCAGCCTGGACAACAGAGTGAGACCCTGTCTCAAAAATACAAAAAGCCCCAAGAGACCTAGATTCCCCCACCCCCCCACCAAAAATCCACACACACGTGCATACACAATAAGATAGTATTTCTCCCTTTTCTTTCTCAGAACATTCCACAGAATAGTCTTATCTTTGAGGAAAGCACTACGCAGAACCTTTGTTTGTTTGTTTGTGATGGAGTCTCACTCTGTCACCCAGGCTGGAGTGCAGTGGCGCCATCTCAGCTCACTGCAGCCTCCACCTCCTGGGTTCAAGGGATTCTCCTGCCTCAGCTTCCTGAGTAGCTGGGATTACAGGTGCATACCACCATGCCCAGCTAATTTTTGTTTTTAGAAGAGACAGTTTTACCATATTGGGCAGGCTAGTCTTGAACTCCTGACCTCACATGATCTGCCTGCCACCACCTCCCAAAGTACTGGGATTCCAGGCATGAGCCACCATGTCTGACCGGAAGCCTTATTTTTACTGCTGTTCAGAGAACCTGTGGCTTATTTCCACACAGAGGGCTTGAGCTTTGCCTTTTGCCTTGCTCATTTCTTACTTACCAAGATCTTAAGCTGGTTTACTGCACTGACATTCTAATGAAATATAAATAGCTTTTCAACAGAGAGATAAGAAAGAGGAGGAGCTAGTATAGCGGGACCCTCCGGGTGGATCAGGGACAGCTGGGGCCCTGCCGGGACTCTGAGTAGAGGAGGTGGCGTGAGAGCACTGATGCTCTGGCTCTGTCACATCCCTTTTTGGCCTTTGTCCTGGTAGAGGCTGTATTTCTGATCTTACAGAAAGCTGTGGGCACACTATCCAGAAATGTGTTTGTTTTGCTTGCTTTGAAGGATGACCTGCTGGCTGACAGCCAGCCAGAATTAAGAATTCCATACACATTTGCAGATTTTCAGTATGAAAGATGGCAATTAGCCTACAGAAACCCATTTAATCCCCGAGGAGGAGCTGTGTGGTGAAGACTGTTATTTATGGGAGTCTGTGTAATTTGCCTCTGTGAGAAGGGACAGCCGTGGCTCAGGCAGGCCCACGCAGCCCTCCTTTTCCAGGACTCCTGCCCCTGCTTGAGTGACTTGGCCTGGCCTGGCCATGTGAGTCTTGTGGATGTGTGCCCATCAGTCAGAGCCCCTGTGCTGTGGACCAAGGGTTGTTTTTGACTATCTTAACTTATTTGATAGCATCTCATTAATATTACAGACATGTACCACCATGCCAGGCTAATTTTTTTTTTATTTGTAATAGAGATGGGCTTTCACCATATTGGCCAGGCTGGTCTTAAACTGCTGACCTCAGGTGATTGTCCATGTCAGCTTCCAGTGTGCTGGGATTACAGGCGTGAGCCACCACACCTGGCCCACAAAACTTCTAAAGAAAGTGTGTTTGTATTTTAATCAGAGTTAAGGTAGCACCTCAGTGAGGGGCAGGATGGAGCAGTGGTAAGCGCACTGAAGGAGTCAGGCTCTCTGGGCTGAAAGTCCTGCCCCGGCCACAGAGCAGCTCCCTTCGTCCTGAGGTCAGATGATGTTCTCCAGGCCCTTTTAGCTCCAGGGTGCTACAGTTCTAAACTGGTTATTATTATTGTTGTTTTGAGATAGAGTCTCGTTCTGTTGCCCAGGCTGGAGTGCAGTGGCATGATCTCGGCTCACTGCAGTCTCTGCCTCCTGGGTTCAAGTGATTTTCCTGCCTGTGCCACCACACCCAGCTAATTTTTGTATTAGTAGAGATGGGGTTTTGTCATGTTGGCCAGGCTGGTCTTGAACTCCTGACCTCTGGAGATCTGCTCACCCCAGCCTCCTAAAGTGCTAGAATTACAGGTGTGAGCCCACCACACGTGACCATGATTGTTGTTTTTTTTATCAGAATTATACAATTTGAAAGTTGCTTTTTCATGAGAAATGAGAACTACCCAAGGAGTAAGATGCTCTAAAAGCCATCAGATCCTTCCCAAAGTATTGAGGCGCTGCTCTTCCCATTTTGTCGTATGAGATTTTTTCCTGAAACTCTTTGTGATATGAAATATTCTTGCTAAATAAGCTGCCTGGAGACTCGCATTTCCCAGAGTGGTTTCGAAAGTGAAATGATGCTGCATTTCCCAGCCACAGTGTGGAGGGCGGCTATGCTCTCTGCACGGGGAGTCTGCTGCTCAGTTACAGGGTGGTGGGTGTGTTACACCATGCACTAGGGAGTCACCCGGTTCATTTACAAGTGGGTTGATGGTTTCAATGGGTTTTGGCTTTGCCTGGTTCCAGACTCAAATCCTTTCTGTAATGTGGGGCGGGGCAGGTACAATAGAGATTTGAACAAGGACATTGAGATTTAAGGGAAGGGCAGTGCAGGCCAAGGTCAGCAGGAGGACATCTCTGAGATGAACAGCACTGAATTTGTGGGAAGCAACACAGAAAAATCTGTTGTAAACAACTCTGTTAAATAATTAATTGTATTGCCTTGGGCTGGAATAGGGGCACCAGAAGGTATAGGACCATGTGGAATTTAGAAAAGGGAGCACTGAAGAATGAGATTTTATTTTTGGCACCAAGAGAGTCCAGGTGCTAGAGTTATCCCCTTGGAAGTGACTACCCTCTCCCTTTTCATATACAATCCTCAGGCAAACGGAGATGATTCATTAGCCCATTCTAGCTTAATGGACACATCACTGTGCAACCGCACAAATGCCTCATTTCTGATTCGCTCGCTTAGTATTTATTGAGGAGTACTGGGTACTAGGCCATGAGAAAAACAAACAACAACAATATAGGCCTAGACCTTGCACTTGAGGAGTTCACAGGCTGGAGAAGCACACAAGTTAAATATAGAGACAGCTGAAAAGCTGATTGTCTGGGACAGAGGGGGAGCCCCCTGCTCTAGGAGCCAGGGAGCAGATGCCACAGGGGACTGGCAGGGATAGGGAAGTCAGGCGAGGAATGGGGTTACCTAAGTCATATCATGAAGGACAAGAATAGGCTCACAAGGTGCCCAGGGACAGGGAGGCCGCAGGTTCGCAGCATGAAGGCAGGAGAGAACATTGCCATAAGCCTTTACCATGGCCACTGCATGCGGAGGAGACAGGAGATGTGGAATGAGCTGTGACACTGGGCAGGAAAGCAAGACCCAGGTCTTTTGAGGCCTTGAGCATCAAGCCTAGGAGTCTGGACTTTATTCTGCAGGGCCTAGGGATTTTAAGCACAGCAATATCATAATTATGTTAACATTTCAGAGCGATCACTCAGGCAGCAGTCTGGAAGATGGGGCGGAAAGAGGAGAGATTACAGCCATGAAAACCGATTTAGAAGGCAGTAGGCAAGTGGCAGGAGATGGGAATGAGAGCGATCACAGAACTTGAATGAACTAAACTCAGTGCACAGGAGAGGGGAAGGGAGAATTCAAAAATGGCTCTTAGATTTCTGACTTGTTCCCCAAGTGAGTGGGGTTGTCATTTATTTAGATAAGCAATAAAGAACTTAGAAACAATTTTAGGAGGAAGATAGTTGTCTTGAGAGCCCCCAAGACCGTGATTTATTACAGCACAGGGATACAAAGCAAAATTAGCAAAGGAAACAGCACGTGGGTTCAGGTCCAGGGGAGCCCAGGAGCAGGCTTCCAGAGCACTGTCCCCATAGAGTCACACAAGATACACTTAATTCCTCCAGCATGATGACACCTGAAATATTGTCTGCAGGGAACGCTCATTAGAGACTCAATCCCCAAGGTTTTTATTGGGCAATAGTCACGTAGCAAATTTCAGATTCCAAGAACAAAAGCAAATGTTCAGCATAAACCATTCTGTTTGTGCAGCGAGCCCCTCTTATCAGTTGGAGAATAGTTGAAACCCTCCCACAATCCAAATTCTCGAAGTCAGGCCTGCTACATTCTTTCTTTCCTACACAGTAATGAATCTGGTTACTAACATGTATTTAAAGCATTTGTTATAATTTACAGTGAAGATGTCCGCTGCACAGTTCATATTGAGTCTAAGGTTCAATGCGAAACATCTGTACTATTGATGAAAGTTTCTGGAGTCATTAGCCCCTCAAAGGGTCATTAAAACCAGGTCTTCCAAAGAGAAAGTCTAACCCTGTGTTCCTTTAAACCTCCATGCTAGAGATCATCTAGTTCTTCACATTATGAAAATGAGAAAACTAAGTCCCCAATGATGTGGCTTGGTTGTACATTTTTCTGTTTCAAATCTATTACTCTTTCCATCATACCAGACTGCTTCACAAAATGACAGAGTCAGGCATTGTTCATCAATGAACAAAATGGCATTTAGGATATAAATCAGGCCCTTGTAAGTTGGGTTAATACAGCTTACTTCTCAAAGATCCTGGTCCTTGGACCCTCAAAAGGAGAACTGATCATGTCAAGGCCTCTACCTGGAAGGAATTTCTAAGCAGCCTCTCAGTCAACTGTTCATGTTCAATCCACCATCATTTACAAAGGACAGTTAATCATTAAGACCTTTCTCTCCTCTTTGCTCTTGTGTCTCTTCCACAAATTTTTATGTATGCAGGTACTCTGTTAGCCACTAGTAATAAAAGGATAAATGGGACAAAGTCTTTGCCCGCAAGTTACTTATATTCTAGAGCCAAGAAAGAGATAGAGGAAGGACACATCTTACATATTAGGGCTGTGTTGAGGTCATGAGTAGGCACAGTAACCCTTTGGATATGGGATATGAAAATACATCAAACTCAAAACAAGTTCATTATTTGCTTGAAGCTCTGGTGAAAGATAAAGTGAAACCTGCAATCTGCAATGAAGTTGCCGCTATACATTTATCCAGTTTTGGATTTCATTCCTGGATGGCCTTTAATTTGGATGGAAGGGTACGATACAGCCATACGTACAGCTGTTGCTCTTGAGGACATCCGCTTCTCTCAACACATGTGATTTGGCTTTGGTCTTTGGGGTTAACTTTGATGCCTAAAGAAGTGACCTTCCCTGATGCTCACCCCAGCCTTTTAGGACCAGATTAGATACATTTGCATGTGTTTGCTGGCTGCTTTTTGTGTAGTGATAAATCTCACCTATAATAATAACAGGCAACTTTGCAATACTCTAAGTTGTCTTGGGAGATATCATCAAGTAGTTGTCAAGTCAAACTTAATGGTAGACTGTACATTTTAAAACAAGTTGCGGGTCATTTGTATAGTCTCAATAGATATATATTTTAAAAGAAACAAAGATT